GATTTCATCATTTCAAATAAAATAGCTTGGACATACTTTCACAAGACCTTTCTCAAAACCATGATGATAAGAATAACAAAGGCTTTAATAATTACTTCCCAGTATCATACTAAATATATTTCTTCTGTTAACTGTAATCATGAAGATGCTGTTTTTTCACACTACCACCACCAACATCATTACTGTGTCACAAACTTCGATCAAAACAAAAACTTAACCTTAACACTAGGGATTAAGTGTCTACACTTATTACCTACTTGTCCAAATACACACTTTACTAAATTCTTTACATACTTTTCTTCAGTATATTAGAGTATTGAGAGAATAACTCACTCCTTACACTGTTAACAGTCCATCTGATATTCAACATTTTAGTTTCAACAAACAAGAAATTTTAGTTTATTATTATTTCAATTCCTTGATAAGTCATTGCGTCCAAGACTGTTTTTATTAATTTTTAAATATTGTTTTATGAATTAATATAATTCACTTGTGATACAGGTATGCCAGAAGCATCAGTATCAGGAATTGAAAGGTATTTCTCCTTCTTACAGATTATTTATTGTGACCAGATTCACATAAACAATCGTTCACCTGATTGAAAAGAGCCATTTAGCGAAATGTAACTTCGTATTTGGAACCGTTAGACGTATGAAACGGAAGTATTGAATTCATTTGAATTTTTAAAAAGTGCTTAAAATCAAGTGGGCTTTGATGAAACTCTTCACTTGAACAAATAGACTGGACAAATAGAATGTAACTAACCTCAGTATGATCCATGTAAATATCGGAACCCAATTGTCCTGTTTTAGTGCGTCCAATATACCTGTTTAGGGCCCCTAAGCATGCAAATCTCATTCGCCTCCTTATCATCATGGCTTTATGAAATGATACTGGATTTTTTACTGAAATATACATAAGATTTGTGTCAATACAAAGTTTTACTGCAGATAAGATGACTTTAAGAAGCTATCCTCCTGATTACTACTGTTCTTTTTCTTAGTTCTCTACACATCAACCCAAAAATACAATGGATATGACAGTATGGAGGGTTTTGAAACCTGACTAATGATAATTTAGCTGGTCATCCCATGTACAGCCTAATTATGCAAATGAATGATAAACACAGTTGTTTAATCCTAAGTTCTGAAAGTAATATGTAAGTGATTACTTGTACCATTATAGTTCCAAATATGCCACTGATGAGTTTCTGTAGGAATTACGTCCAGGTACAAGGCTTTATACTAAGTGGCTTTACACATTTAACATCGAAACCAATGCAGTTCATTGTTCTCTCCCAAGGATTTTTAATCAAAAAGCAAACTCTATAAGTATATTTCATTCAGCCTTGATGTCACTTGGAAAAAATTTTGAAAAAGACAGTGGATTTTAGCATTATATTATGCCATTTATTCATCAACTGTAGGATTTAAGTTAAAATAACTTTCCAGCCGAGCAATGTTAAATGATGAGAATTCCTCGATACCAGTGACATTCTTGAAATTTAATCTTCTAACTACATCAATGAATGGTAACGTTTCTGACTGCACCACTGGTTTACATGGGTTCGAATTTCACAAGCGACAACAGTTCCCTTGAAGTTGCAGATACACTTTCCTGAGCAGTGTTAACATACATGAAACCTAGATAGTAGGCTTACTGCCAACAGTCTTCAATCAACCAAAATTCACTACTTCTACAAGTATTAATAATATCTCTCATGATATATCATTCGTAGCCACTGCAACAAATATGCTCTATTTAGTCACTTTTGACTAGACTCCAAAGCAATAGGATTTTGCTCCATTTCCTTTTATGATAAAATTACTGAACGAGGAAAGCCAAATCAAGCAATATTGCCTCCGTCACTGTTTAGTATCTACAGAAAAAGAAGACAGCCAATAGGGAGAAGATATGCAATGTTACAAATATTCTAGTTAATACATATTACTTTTCAGTACAGTTAACTGCAGTTTCTTCACAGATTCTCCAATGTTACATTTTAGTCCGTAGGAGATCGTTAGGAGATTACCTTTATTTGTAAAAAGGGGTTTTTGATAAAATGCATTTTTGAATAATCTGCAGAAGCGAAATGGCTTTAAGAAACATAAAGCCGAAGGTGCTTTTGATGTGAATTATTCAGGATGAAACTAACAAAGGATACATCTTTGAATGAAATATCTACATAACATGATAGCAATGATATATGTGTATGTTTTCAAAATTTACATGGTCACGTCATTTGCAGGCATTTTACTGATTATAAGCTGGAAATAACCTTGGTAAATTTTAACTTTCAATGTAATAACACTGAGAAAATTGATAGCATATTTTGCAAAATGTGATACGTAAACTTCTAAATCCATAGACTAAAAGTATCGGGTCAGACAGAGTTTTTATAAGAATTAGACTGCCACCAACCGAAAACATACTGAGATCAACCTAAATAGATAAAAAAAGGAAATGACGCATAGTGGTGAGTTGAACAAACAACATTTCAATACAGTAAGTTATATTAATTAGTGACTATTAACTTCACCTGATTTATCTCCGGATAAAGTACTTTCTCCATTACGCTTGTAGTCTTTGATCAAAGAAACAAGCTAATTGGTAACGTTGTAAATCTGTCCAACTCAGGCTAAGTTCTTGACTACAGTAAGGATGGAATGTAGAGAATTTTAGGTTGGTCACACAAAAGATGCCTCTTTCACCTATCTAGGCAGCATCGTTTCAACTATAGGCGGCACAGGCACAGACGAGGACGTCAAACTCAGGATCGGAGAAACAGCAAGACAGGCATTCATTAACCTGAAACCAGTGTGGAGATCTTCTGCACTCAGCATAAAGCGTGAACAACATCCGGATTTTCAACACCAATTCAGTCAAGTCAGTGGTTTCATGTGATGGTCTAGAGACTTGGCGCCTTACGAAAAGGATTTCCAACAAACTACAGACATTCATCAACAACTGCCTACTCTGGCCCGATACTGAAGATCAGATGGATTGGCAGAATAATAAGAATAAGCAGCAGGGGACTCTGTAAATGAACCAACCAAGAACCTATCACTCAACAAACATGCAGTAGGAGGAAATGGAGATGGATTGGGCATAGACTGAGAAGGCTGAGTGGGGACATCATGCGCCAGGCCAGTCCCTCGAGTGGAGCCCAGATGGGAAGTGACGAGTTTGGCGTCCGAGGTGGGGGTGACATGGAGGAGTTGTTGTGAGGAAGAAATGAGAGCTTGTGGGCTGTCGTGTAGCCAGGTTGAAAGATTGCGGAGAAGAGAGTGCACTGGAGAAGTGCTGCTGAAGCTCTTTGTCCCTTTAGGAACCCAAGGGACAAATTATAGTAATAATACAAACGATTCTGCGTTAGTTCGTTAACCTAATGACTGTAAGTCTATTTAGTTTAGGCAAATTCATCATTTCCATTTTGATAGCGCAAGTCGACAGTAAATAAAATAAATTGATGTGGTTCATATCTCATAATTTGACTCTTGTATCAGTCCGGTTCACCTCGATCCTTTCACTTATATATTTTTACTACCTTTGTTTATGCTTGACATAAAGTGAGTGGCTGGTCTACTTGTGAACTGTTGAACAATAGCTTCTTAGTTTGATCATCAAAGGTCACTCTCTCCTTCAAAAAGGGAGAAAAACAGTAAAACGATAGAAAGTTTATTAAAAAGTTGAATTGTGAAAAATTGTTTTCAGCAGCCTTGATATTCTCTAAACAGTTTAAAAGGAACACTACTTACCAATCCACTTGCATAAGGCAATCTGAAGCTTACATGTGGCTTTTAGCAAGTATTGTGCCTGCATGGATTAACTGTGAGGGTTTTCAGGAGACTTTGAGCTTTTTTGAAGGGTCTAGAAAATAATACTATACTGCTTAACAGTTCTACTTCTCTGTTTCATAAAAAGGTTAGCTAAATGAATTCAGTTTTTTATTAACTTAGTAGGCTGACCGTATGATTTATTAATGATCGTTTTGTTAGGTTTTAAATACTGTGCAATATGTTATGTCAGAGAATACTTCATTCATTTCCGAATAATAATAATAAGAATAAACAGCCAACCGAAGTGAACGCCTTTTTGAACTCACTACAGAAGCATTTCTTCTTACTCCTTTGAAAACTTGTATTTGCTATTTGATTCGAAGACACTACTTATAAAGCTTATACAGAGAATGTCGTGGTTGAGTTTTGATTCAGAAAAGTAAAGCGATCTACGTTGTATAAAGATTAATAGGGAACCACCAAACCAAAAGACGCAAGGTGCAGGGATTCAAACAGCTTGCTGACAGTCATGTGATGAAAGCACTTAGTCCAGTGACCATATTTTAAACTTGACAGAGGCACATCAGTTACTGTTAAGGATGACGAGTTATTGTATCCTTTTTCATTCAATGATCTAACAGTTATTTAGCCTTGGATTTACCTCTGTGATTCAAAGCAAGTTTCGAACTATTAAACAACTGATACTCTGTCATTTTTTACATGACACCTTCTAAACTTTAGGGGTGAACACTGCGAAAATACGTTCTCAAATGAAGCATAAGGATGTTACTTACCTTTACACTAATACCTATTCAGCATCTAACAATATGATTATTTATAGAGTCTATTACTAGTTGTTAAGAAGTGAATCTAATTTGCATGTACTGCCAATTCTTTAAACGCACTTCAAGTCAGTGCTTTTTAGTCCTCACTTTTTACTATTTAGTATGGAGCATCAAACTATGAGTTTGCTTTAAGAATGTAGATTAACCTGCTTACGATAAGTGTTTGGATAAAAATTTATCAGGTTTCTTCAGACTGTATAATATACAATGTAAGGACGTTAATTTTTTACCCTCCTGATTAATCTGTTAAAGCAGGTTAAGTTCAATAAATCTTTATTTTTAAGGGCAGTTAAACAAAGAAAGAGGGTATTTCTAAATTATACTTACCTTTAAATCAAAGTTCAGCACTAAGTTCTGACTGGTAAGTATCAAACCAATGACCAAAACGGATATACCATATAAGCGTATAGTCCAAATAGCTCGTGTATATTTCAGAACTGAACTGGGATGTAAAGCTGATGTTATACTCGAATTATCTGATTCAGTCAGTGTAATAAAAGATGAATTTGTTAAATTCCCAATATTTTCAGTTATTACAATTTTTGTCAGTGATGATTTGATTAAACTACGTGTACACATAATTAATGAATGTACTTTCCTAAGAAAAACTAAAGATATTAACAACTGTGAAAATGATACTGTTGAACATAACGATTGTAAGCACTTCACCATATACCAGTTCGTAACAGTTGATGATTTAACAATGACTGAAGCATTCAAGGAACAATGTTTATTCCGAACATCTATTATACGAATTGATTCAACTGAATGAAGAAATAATGGGAAAACTACAAATAGAATTGCATTTATTGACCAAACTATAAATATTTGTAGGAAAAATAATTGGAAACATGTATTTTTATAGTTGTTGAACATATGTTTCAATAAACATTGAACACTCCGATCTTGTTTTAGTGAATAACTTGAAAAATATAAATGCATGCTGATTAGTGTACAATAGGTAAGATTATTTGCCATTGTCCAGTTATATATACCTTTCAAGAAATAACATATTATCAGACGGTATTCGGGAAATACATGAGCAGTTGCAGACAATGGAAATAATACGGTATCAATAATAAAATTATTTAAACACAAAATTACTACAAATGACCGAATATTTCTTGAATAATATTCAAAAGAAGAGGTCTGGTGAACTGGATCCATTTTACATCGTTGTGATGATTTGCGTTGACCACTGAATTTGTTTAGTGTTGCATGAAATTGTTTTATGTGCTGGTTTTGATTTGAAATACATTTGCATTGACTGAATGACAAAATAGTGGTTAAAAACAGACAAAAATTAATTGAGCCCGGACAAATCAGTAAGAATGCAAACCATGCCATGTGGTTCGTATTAGCATTTCCTTTGAATAAGAAAATACACTGTAGGTGAAATAATTATACAATTGCAGTAATGGAATGCAAGATCATGCTCAAATGCAAGTAAACTATAGTGGCTGGAATGTTTTAACAGATGAAAAATTTCCTAAGCACTGAAGTATTAAAATAAATTTAACTTGGTTAGCCAATTTGTTTAAACCAACTGAAACTTACAAATCAACTTTAAACAATCGTTTGACATAGTTAATTTGTATTTTAATTTACGGGTAGCGTTGGAAATTTACAGTTGTCTGATAGGAATGTTGAGGATAGAAGCTATCATTTTACCCGTGATTGTACCTAAAATTTAGATCCACTTAGTGGATGATAGTCATTTTATCATTAAAAAGGGGGAATTAGAAAACAATTACTGTTTGAGGGGGTTGTGGAGATTTGGAAATATTTCAAGTTGTTATTCATCGAAGAGTGACATCAGTTGGAGGAACAAAGGAAACCTGGGAGCACTGCACAGCTGTTTCGTCCTTTGTTCCTCCAACTGATGTCACTCTTCGATGAATAACAACTTGAAATATTTCCAAATCTCCACAACCCCGTCAAAAAAATTTAATTGGACTGGTGCTCATTGGTGACTAGCTTCGAGAAGTATTCCCGAAGTTCCAATGACAAGTCGTGACCGGTGGAGTCAAAGCCTGATGGCCGTGAGGACAAATAGTCAACGATGACATTGGGTGGCGGTTTGCGCTATATCGTGAGCTAACAGAAGTTGGAAATATAGAGCATTGGATTCTGACCCAGTGGCTCAATGGTAACGCGCTGGCCGCGGGTTCGATCCCTGCTGGTGGGGTCGTGAGTGCGCACTGCTGAGGAGTCCCACACTAGGACGAAACAGCTGTCCAGTGCTCCCAGGTTTCCTTTGTTCCTCCAACTGATGTCAGTCTTCGAGGAATAACAACTTGAAGAATTACTATTTGATCAAAAACATCAAATGTTTTAGTTAGTAAAACAAATGCTGGAAAACTGGAAACCCAAATGTACGGGGAGTCGACGCACACTGATTAAATCTTAAACTACAGCAGTAACAACCCGACAACACACCAAAATGTGTGCGTCTAGACTGTATTCAAAAGAGCGAAAACACAAATCACTATTACTTCACGGAAAAACGAAGAAAATCACTTGGTATCTGTCTTAAAGGAGGACGGTTACACATGAAAATTCATCATAAGATGACAGTCCAGTTCATCATTAATTATAAAAGTCATCTACGGAAATCAGCAGACGGATCACCCTGACATACACAAAGAATGTATCAGAAATCACGACAAGATTACTTGAACCATTTTGAATCGGTGTGGCTCATAAGCTAACAAGTTCCCTTCATACTATATTATCTCGGTCAAGAAAAGCAGCATACAAGTAAGACAAACTAAAAATCATTTACAAAGTCGATTGCAACAACTGCAATCAGCACTATATTGAACAAAGAGGTTGGTCTCCTCGATTTCGCTTACATTAACATCAGTTGGCTATTAAACCTCAGAACATTTCATCACTTATGTCAACACTTTTGAATAACTATGTGCACGAGTTCCACTTTGAAAAGATAGAGATCTTGGACGAAGGAAATACTAAACATCTCAAAATATTTCTAGAAGCTTAGCATTTAGGTCAACTAGTACTCAATGGAACAATGGTAAGAACTACTAAGTGAGAGGTCAGGAAGATAAACAGCTAACCTAAAAGCTTATGCACTCTATGAAACAACAACCAAAGTAGGCAGTCAGTCACAAACAATATCTTCAGAGGTAGCTACTGAATCACTTTTGAAGAAATCCTGTTTTGCTCAGTTCATACTGTTGCAGTCAGTGCTGATGATGTTATGTAGAAAGATAAATAAAGGTTGACCATGAAACCACCTAGCTGAGAGAATGTAACACAACCAAAATCATCCACCTGAGCTACAAACCTTCCTCAGCGTTTTATGAGTTTTACATATTAAGGTGACCCAGCTGAAACTGACTGGTACAACCCAAGTAAAGAAGTCCGAAATAAGCTTTTCAATACACTAAATCATGACCAGTAAAACAAACGATAGCCAATAATCGCCTAATATGTTTTGAATACTGAATCATACGGGAACGCCTATTTGAAATTTTCCTTGTCATTTTTGGGGTCGCAAAATGCTAGGAATTACTTATCTTAAAAGTTTTTGTTTTGACATGGTGACAGTATTTGCAACTCAAGTTGTGAATGCTTTGTTAATTTCACTGTATTTAGTTTTAGTCTGCAAGCAAAGAGCACTCAACATCCCGGAAGGCATCATCTTCAACAGAAAGTTGGGAAGAAAGATTTGTCTTACATCTAATCTTTTGTTACTGTAGAAAATATTACCAACCTTGATGATATTGTTGAGAAAAAACACTAATTTATTCGAACATTAGTATACTACTTAAACGCATAATCAGAATATATACTGCTTAGTTGAAAAAAATAGTTGATAACAACCAGTTTACAGGACATTTATGTGAAACTGCATAACAAAACTCAACCTATCTACTATCCAGAAGGCTGGATTTGTGAAAGAACATCTTATTAAGCTTGTTTGCACTTGCGAAAAACTTATGATAATGAAGAAAACTTATAGTTTAAGATAAGGAGGAAAAAGGTTTTATTTTCTCTGCGCTTTGACGTTTTGTCATGAACATTTCAATATCAGGCTTTATTATATTCCTTTTTGTAATCATGCAGTTAAAGTTCTTCACGAATTTCAGTAAACAGTAATATCAAACTTTTTGGTGTGCACACAGAACATCAAAATTGTATCCTCTTCAAGCAAAGAAGAAATGAATACACCACAAAGTTATACTAAAATAGCAAAATGTGTATGGAAGAGTAGGAAACAAGTAAGTTAAGGTTTACAAAGTGTCTAATATTTCGAAGATGAGTGATGAGGTAGGGATTTGTGCAATTTTGACCGACTTTGATACATACCACCAAAAGTTTCCAGTTATTGACTCCTAACATCTCAGTGACCTCGGATAGGTAATCTACAATGATCTACACGACTTAGATCAGTAGTTAAGGACTTTACGTATTCGTGTCACTTTTTCGTTAGGTTGCCCTCAACTTCTTTCTGACCTCGTCCTACTTTGGTTAGTATCATGCTGCAGAATAGGTGGTAGCATGGCATGAACACTGAATACTCAAGTCACCCTACGCAATAACATTTCACAACTCCATTGACTGACTTACGTTACTTGTCGAGTACCTTTAACATGAACTGAAATTGGATCTTAATATGATTTGATCGTATACGAGCAGTATTATAAAGACAGACGTGATCGAAAGCATGTAGCCTGTACATACCTTCGCGTTTTAATGACCTTGTCTTATAACTGTGAAATTTACTCATCAGTTTCTTTGGTGTCAGATATGTTATACGTGCCAGAGATTGCCTAAGTTAGTAGGCACCAAATAGTGACAAATCATCCAATTAGGTCAATGGAATGCGGTTAGCGCATAGGACTAGACAACACGAAATAAGCGAGGCCACAATAGCCAGTCAACGTAATTAATAGAATCAATCATCAGAGCAGACATAATGGACAGGTTAACAACAAACATCAGTATATTAGTTAGGATAAAAGGCAAGTTGAGGACCGAAAACGTGAACAATAACCTGCTTAAGTTATTGACCGGCACGAAAAAAAGAGGAAAAGATGGTTACACAGTAAACTATTTCGATTGATGACTACCTAAAATAGAATACAATCCTCCCTAGAAAAGACCTAACTTTTACTTGAAGACTGCGAACAAACGGAATTTTTAAGCGTCACTGCGGTTTATACCTAAAACCGCAAGACTATGTGGTCAACAACAATTAGAACTATGCCATTAAAGTCTGAGTACATTCACAACCAAAGTGAATGAGCATCTGCTAAACATCAAATAAACAAAATGCATTAGAAATGGCTAACGACTGAAGAGATAGTTGTAACATTGCCAACTAATAAAAGAAGCAATATCACTGTCGTAAACAAAGTGGACTGTGGCAGGCGATCAGAGCATAAATGAACAATGAATTAGTCTATTCATTGTTGGGTAGAAATCTAATCAAATGACCAGGTAGTCAGCGACTTACGACATTCTGTAATATACAACAGCTGGTTTATTCACAGTGGTATAACAGTGGTGAACGAAAACAAATGAGCCAGATTTATCTGGGTTCTAAGTTTGACCCAAAATAAAAAAGACTGATACAATATTACATCTTTGAATTAGAACATAATAAGTAGTTAGTTTCGATTCACATTGGAGCAGTTTCTGATCATCGTATCAACATGAGATAAAGAGAGTAAACAACTACATATTCGACTAAAAGGGATATTGATAGTAAGCGTAAAAAAATCATTAGTTTCCGTTATGTGT